TGATTCATCACATTCCTAAATTTTTTATATTAATTTCATTTCTTATAGGCAATTAGTAACACTGTAACAAATTTATGCTCAGGTAACACTAAGATGCTTCATCTCAACTTTGGATGTTGTTGCAATCAGCCATATTACATTGCTGGCTATCCGAAATGCAACACCATGAAGAACAAGAAATATCAAAGCCATATTTACTGAAGAAATAATATAAGTTATAAAAGTGAATTGATTAAAATTACACCAGTCAGTATACACTAGTCATATTACCAATTAATATTTTGTGAAACAGCCATAGTTGGTAGTAACTGCTGCAACACTCTTCACTGAAAGAAAGAGGGTTTGGAAGTGTGCTTGGGGGATGTCTATGGTGTTTCTATGCATTGCAAAAATTTGCCTGGCATAGCTGTGGATGATGTGTGCTGGCAACGTTTTTGCTAATGACCAGAGTATGCTTGTTATATGAGATATCAAGAGAACAGGTGAGCTAAAGCAACAGTGTAATCTAGCATACAATGGAGAACTGCAAACATCACATGCCATGTGCATCCCGCATTATTTTGTTGAAACAGGCAAGTTCGGAAGAAAGGCAGGACTATGGGTTCCAAAATTTCAGAGTTGTAACGATGGTTGTTCAGGGTACCAGCAATGTATATCAGTCAAGTACAGAAGTAAAATATTATAGCACTTCAAACCATGTTTCTAGGTGACAGACCAGTATTGCAATGTGTAATGAAAGAGTCATTATGTATGTCACTACAGTGTTGCCAAACATAGATGCAAAACTGAGAAACGTGGTGTTGTTGTAAGTAAAAGTGAGATTCATATGAAAAGCCAGTATCATGCCAATCGTTTTATCCTTGTCTGGCATTCAACATATCACTGCAGCCGCATACGCCTATGGTGTAGAGTCAATGGTAATCACAAACGCCCTTCAGAGATAACCTCTCCTCTTCAGACAACATTGAACGGTATATACTGACACAGGTTGTTGTATAACAGACCCTAATTCTTATGTTAGTGTTCTTGATATTACTGTGTGATGGGAACAGAGGAAAAATCCGAATTTTTAGTGTTTAGAAAGAAAACTGTTATTCAGAATAGAATTCCAGATAGAATGCAGGAGTATTCAAGAGCCTCTGGTGTGAATTAACAAAGAAGTATTCAAGAGCAGCAACTATGGATATCAATTAAGTGATATTAGTGATTCATTTAATGAAAACTGATTATCTGATATGTGTTTTTTTCTAATGAAGTTGCAATTAGACACATTTGTTCTGTCTTTCGTTTGAGGTGTATCATAAATGGAGAATGTTTGCAGCGTATTTGTCTTTTCTATATTTTCAATCGGCCGTTTTATACTCTCAGTCATTATGTTCTTAAACCAGCAATGCGACGTTAAAAAATCACACAAACAAAATTATTTACTTTTTGTTTCTTATTTTGTCAGTTAGCACACGATGCTTGGTTTGAAATTGTTTAAATTTATTGTGCGTATAAGGTAATATAAAAAATAAAATTTATTGGAATGCGAGCCACAAGCCGCGGTTAGGCCACGCCTCATACAATATATTCAAACATTTTAGAATAAATATAATTAAACAAAATACTAAAATTATGAAAGCATATTATTAAGTATTAAATAATTCCCAATAACATATAGGGAAAGAAACTATTCCGTATTTCTATTACTATTTGCATATTTAATATTCTTTTTTCTTAATCATTAAAGGCTCTTAATTATAATTTATAAAATTGCTTCTTATATATAGCTTGACAATAAAGATATTGACATGCATCAAACTAAAATAACCTTTCTAACATTGTATTAAACACTGTAACATTTACCGAAAGTTGATATGTATATTCGATTTTCTTTATTTTACTGCATGGCAGTGCTCAAGTAAGCCCACCAAAAAATGCTAACTCGACAAGGATTTGAGCACCTAGATGGATGTTTTTATTGTTTTCCTAATATAAAACCTGAACACCAACCAGCTTTCTTTCGAAACTTCTTTCCGAAGATATTTTTTCTCTTAGGCGAGATATCTAAGCAAGGTACTAAAGGGTTGGTTTAATACATACATAAAGACACTTTCTCACTTATGAATTACTTTCTCAATGAATGAAAATAAATGAATGAATGAATTACTTCCTCAATGAAATGATTTCACCAGCTGATGCTGGTTGTGTTTCCTTTGAGCCATTTTATGGCTATACGTGTTGCTGCAAGTTCAGTATTTACCAGTTATTGGTACACTCTTTAAAATAATCAGGGACAAAAATTAAGACCCATACCTCAAATTATCATACAAGTTTCAGCTATTAAACTGCATTAAGAACCACTTAATCAAAAAATTTACCATTCTTAAGTTGATAACAACTCTAAAAATATAAACAGATGTTTCTTATTTCAAATATAATGTGGTAGACACAGCCAGTATCATACATTTAGCATTATCAGATATTCATTCATATTATCAGAAGTTCATTCGTACTAATTTTATTTCACTTCAGAATATGAACATACACTGAAGAATAACTGAATTAAAGATACCTGCTTAGTAGTGCGTTGCACCACCTTTCACCTTGATGACAGCTGTGATTTGTCTTTGCATGAATTCGACAAGACATGGGAAGAGCCTTACATATCCACGACTCCTGATTAGCATCCCACAATTAATGAGGATTAGACCGAATGTGGACAGAGCCTCAAACATCTCTCTCAATTGCATCCCATACATGCTCGATCGGATTCAGGTCAGGCGATCTTGATGGCCAGGAAGCAGGTGAAGGTCTGGAATGTCAAGATGTTCATCCAACCATTCTGATACAATTCAGGAGCAATGGCATGGTGCATTTTTTTAAAAAAATAATCTCTGTAGTGAGCTGTCGAAAACGAACATATGGGAATAGACGGACATTAAGGATATCCCGGTAACATTCATCTTGTGACAGACAATGTAACATGTACCGAGAATCCCATTTCAGTCCATGTGAATACTTCACAGACAAGAATAGCACCTCCACCAGCTTAAAAAGTCATCACCTGGTACAAATGATCTATCGCTTCATGTGATTAATACTGTATGCATATTCTGCCATTGGTGTGTGCCAAAGTAAATCTCGATTCATTACTCCAGATAACATTTTTCCACATCTTGAAAGTCCACTGGTGATGTTCTTGTGCCCATGCTAATCATTGTGCAGTCAGCAAAGAGACTCTCATAGGACAACTTCACTATGCCATTGAAAGCAGATGGTTTTGTATGGTATGGCAGCTTACAGGTTGATGTGAACTAGCTTTAAATTGATGGGTGATCTGTTATACTGTGGACCATCTACCTGCTGTTACAATATGGGCTAACCAGTTCTACCACTGGCAGTAAAACTGTTCGATAAATACAAAATTTAACTTTTTTATATGCTTCCTATACAGAAAAATCTTTAATTAATACAATGTTCTTTAGGATAAATTAAATGAAAATATTACATAAATATGCATGCCAAATACTGACAGATATTTATTATTACTAATGGTTTTATGCAGTTAGCTGCAAAATTAACAAACAACTCCTGTTTTATTCAATATGCAACCATTAATTGCCAAAATGAGTACTTTCTCTTTTGTACATAATTCCAAAATCTGAGTAAAAAATATTCAGATTTCCTCAATAAGATGCACTAAAATATCATCTCTAATTCCTTCTTTTAATCAATCCTTCTGTCAATTCAGTACATTTAGGTAAGATTTATTTTCTGATCACTAATATTCAAATGATTCAAATGATCTATTATCATTCAACATAAGTTCAGTAGCTGTTAAATCTGCAACCTCTTGAAAACTGTCTGATGCTTATATTTTCCAAATTTATCATTAAATACTAATCACTAGGTTAACAACATTTGTAAAAATACATAAAGGATATATATATATTAGATAGACAGAACAAATTTTTGTACTAAATTGTGAAGATTTTCTTTTGAACATATTTACAAGGTATTTCAAAGAATAAAACAACACTGTTTTTAAAAGTAGTTTAAAGTAACTACACTGTTTATATTATATTAGTAAACGTTTCAAGAAAAAATAGTGCCATTTGTTCATTTTTTTCTTTAGTTATCCAAAAATCATCTAAAATAAAAGCACAACATATCCATGGAAGAAGGCTAATATCAGATGAGGATACAGGAACTTGCGTAGTATGAATACAAAATACCTGAATATAGTCTAAGAAATTATTTAAATATTTGAATTAAATACAAGTGAATCATCTGCAGCTCCCATGACTTTACATCTCAGTTACTTATATATGGCTATACCTGAAGAAAAATATTTGAATCGCGAACAAAAATTTAAATCTGATGAAATTCAGAAAATTGTATAAATTTGATAAAAAAAAAAGCATCACCGCCAAAATAACCGCTATATATATATATATATATATAAAAACTAGAGTAGATGATTCAAGAGATGTAAGCAAAATGAACTTCGATAAATGATAAAAAGTCAATCCTTGACAATGATTTTAGACAAAAGGGTAAAAAACTGATGCAGTTGTTGCTGCTTTTATTTGTTTGTTCTAACAAACAACTTGCATTTAATAACATGGGACTGCATATATTTTCTCTTAACATGCACTGAGAATTTTTTTCACCTGAAATCACTGCCAAACAATGGCTAAATTATCTCTATTATTAAAACACATAAAATTTTATTTACCTTTTATGTAAATTTGAAAGTGAATTTATATTTTATTCAAGAGACAAATGTATTAACACAGCTCAAAAAATTTTATAACAAAGTTCTAAGTATACTTTAAGTATTACCTCTAAGAAAAGGAAGCAGGGAATCGTAAATAAGAGCTGGTCAAAATTTGATTTTAATTTCCAAATTATTTTTAAAAAAAGATTAAAATAAGGTATTTTGAACAAACTAAAATTTCTTGTGCAAATATAAAAGAACATTAAAAATACTGATAAGCTACAAGAACAAAATATTTTAATCCAAAGAAATTTATTTAGATTTCTTTTACATAGCTGAAATCAAATATGAAAATACAATTAAAAAAAAACATACAAAAATTTACTATGCCCACTCCAGTTATAATTGTTACATCAGATTTAATTAAATACCAAAAGACATGCAAGAGTTATATTTCTCCTCCCCAACCCTCTGTGAAAAAACAAATCTATTACAGTTGTACTTGTAATCCTAATTTTCAATATACTGCAAAGCTTTAAACATAATTTAGTAATGTAGCTATGCTAGATATATTTTATAATTTATTTCATGTTACTAATGGGATGTGCAAGAAATGAAAATAGCAAAACTATATATACAGTGAAAAGAGGACAGAAAGAAAAGAGAATAATTTCTTAAATTATACTATTGCTTCAAAAGTTTTGAATAGTTGATTAATTTAAAATACATTATATAGAGTAAACATATTCTTCAAATATTATTTATCTAAGATGTTTATGTAATTATGAATACAGAAGCAGTTCCCTATAAAAGCAAATAAAGAAAACAGATTTATATGGGAAATTCTAAATAATATCAAATAAAATGCTGCCCTTCAACTATTTTATGAAGATTACAGAAGTGTAATTTCACTCTTCATAAGAAGACAATGTGGTTTTAGTTTATTTAAAGTATTTCTTATTGCCAAAAGTATGATGTCATGCATAATTAAATTTATTACAGCTGATTAAGGACTTTGATCTTTATTTGTTACTGCACAATGTTCAATAATTTAAAAAAGCACAGTTGTTATTTATATAATAAATAATATAGGCATACACATATCAAACATCAGGTAATGTAGTCTTATTTTATAGCAACTCTTTTTGCCTCAGACAGTGGAATTATTATCATATTCTTTACAAAAACTCTAAAAAACAAAATAGTTTTAAGGCTTATTTTATTAAAATAGGTAAAAGAGACGCAAGCCTATTACAAAGAAATGCAAAACTGAACATTTGCTAAACATTTATTTCAAATAAAAAAAAATGGCTCAATGCATTTCAAGTTTCTTTTTAACTCAGGTTATTATTCACCATTGTTGTTCTTATAAGAATTTTTTTAAAACAGATATGAATTATTAAATTAAGACTAAATAAATTTTCGATTTTGCTTTTAATTTATTCGTTATATAAGAATATTCATAAATATATTTCTAAAAGTATGAAAAACTACCCTTATTCCACATTTTGCATTCATAAAAACTAATCATGACACAATACAAATATAACATTTTTTTCTCTTTTGATTTCACAATACTGATTATAAAGGATATATGTATTATCAATCAAAATAAAAAGACACTTCTCTTACAAAAAGGTAAAACAAAAGTTGTTGACAAAATGAATCAAAAATTCAACTAGAAAACAAAGTGCCAGTAATAAATTATATTTTCCCTTTTAGTTAAGCTGAAATTAAAATACTTAATTTTACACAGTGATAAAAAATTGAGAAAATTCAACAACACTTAAAAATCTTTCAACATCTATAAAAATTAAATATTTCATGTGCATAAAAAACAGTGAAAGAAGTATACTGACAAAACATTTCAGTTAACAACAAATTATTTTAAATAATTATTATAACATCAATAATTTACAATAAATAAAACAAATTATGGAAATAATTGAATTAATGGAAAAAAGATAAAACAGAACTAAACACATTTCACCAGGAGAAAATATTTATTATAAATGATATAAAAGTTTCCTAATATAAATTCATCAGTTTATCAGATAAACATTTGTTAATAAATTAATAAGCCTAAAAGAGCACCATTAACACAGATCAAAACATCATTTGTCAAAAGAATATCACAAAATAAGCAATTACTTATAGTTTTATAATTCTGAAAATAAATGAAATTTGATATGTTTGAATTTCAAATACATTAAAATGGATTTTTTAATGTTTACAAGTTTTAATAATCAAGCAAATTTATATAAACAAAACTTCACCTTACATATGACTGAAATACATTGAAATAGATACCAAATTCACAAATAACAATATTTTAACAATGACATCATGGACAATACAACCATCAGTTGGAAAAGTATATAAATCACACTCATACACGGTATGAACGATTGGCAATAAAATACATGATTAAAATACTTCCCCCATAAGTAAAACAAACAAAGCTGACCAGCCAGTAAAAGGATGAGAACCTTTTCCTTTCCCAGTTTTATCATCATATTGCTCCCATATAAAACCTGTTCTTTTATATTCTTTCAAAATGTTGGTGACAACATTCAATTTTAATTCTTCATATAATTTCTTCGCTTGATCTTTATATGGACCTTCTACATTGCTATAATGATTCAAAGCACGAACAGCAAGGTAATTAATGTTAATCCATATTGCACCTCTCCAGTATGGTGGGTCATGTTCTGTATTATATTTCATATAGTATGGCGAACTCTTGGCAAGAGATCTTAGACCATAATTTGTCCATAACAATCTTGGATTTTTTAAGTCATTTAGAACTTTGTTCAGCTTAGGATTGATTGGATCAATTATTTTCAATAAAAATGGAAACAGACTTACACAACCAAAATTATCAACGAACCTAAGAACAGGGTCATCATTCACTACTCTATAGGTTATTGTTTGAGGTGCATCCTGGCCAGCAACATAAGGTAACTTTTCTTGAGCCAGTCTAACATTTTTTGAATGGAAACCATAATCACTATATGATTCAGAATTTGGAGACCAGTGAAGCTCATCCAGCAGTTTATTATCAGATAAGTAAAGATAAGTATTGCGATATTTCTCTGATGGTTCACCTACATACTCAGAAATATCTGCTAAAACACCAGCTGCTAAAGCAATCCAGCATCTTAAATCAACATGCCTCTCATCAATAGTTGGATGAGTAGCTCGTGGATAATCATCTAAACCAGATGTTAATGTTTTAGGATTAAGCTCAAGATCAGTTTTTGGATCTCGTCCTCTCCACCTGTATGTTCCTGGAATCATGCCATTTTGGGTTTTGTTATACCATTCAAACCAAATTTTAAGTCGAGGTAAGATCCTTTTCAGGTAATCTATGTCTTTGGGAATGCTTCCACTTTTCATTTTTGATAAAAGACTTTCAAGAGTTAAGAAAAATGTGGGAGGATTCGCATTTATATTTTTCTGGACCACAAACTCTGAAGGTACACGTTCTCTAGCTTCTAAGCCCAATATTTGCTCTCGTGGTATCCAACCTTCCACGTTCATCAAATCTAACCAATGCCCTATAATATCTTTAGTAATTTCAGGATTCCACTGTAAAATTAAAAGATTATGAAAGCCTTCATCCCATAAAAATCCTCGGGGGAAAAAAGAACGTGAGGGTACAGCTGTATACAATGGGGCATTCCAATAATTTACAGGCTCTTTGTTATGAATAGATTGCACTAAAGAGGAACCATAAAAATAGCCAATGCCTCCAATCATATTGCTCAGAGCTGCCCAAGCAGCTCTTACATCTTCAGAACTATAATTTTTGCTACGAAGCTGAAAAATATTTTCAAACTTTTCTTCAAAATTTTTCATGCGCCTATCCAACTCCGAGTTGTAAAAAGATCCAACTAATTTCCAATGTCGATCAGTAAAGCTAGCAGATTCAAAATAAACTTCCATTTCAAATGGAGGAATAAAAGTCACTTGATAAACAAAAAAATTTTCTTTATATTCTTTATCACTTTTCCTTGTATAAGCTGCTGCCTCTCCTATTAAACCAAGTATCTGCAATTGCATGCGTTCTTTGGCTTGGAAAAGAGCATGGTGGCGTAATACCAATTCTTTTAAATGTGATAAACTTAATGCTTCAGCAGCAAGATAATTATATTTGAGAATAGTCTTACTGGTTTCAATTTCACGGAAATGGAAAGTGAAATTACCAAGTTCATCTGTATATCCATGAACTGAACGAAGATGTCCTTCATGGACCACAGTTGGTTTCAAGAAACTATCAGGATTAGCATGTACATAAAACATTAATGATACTGGCACTGGAGAGGAATTACCTTCCTGTAAAAAATTAATAAATAAAATATTAGTGACCAGAACAAACTAAAAGTTACAAGCAAATGAACACCGATAAATAATATTAAGTAATTTAATTCAGATTTAGTAAAATCAGTTTTTAAAAACTAAGTGTAACATTAAATGGCAGCATTTAACATTTAGTATTTCGTAACTTGTGAATGGGAACAGTTTGAAGGCATGTAAAAATAGAACAATGTTAGTATAAGTAATATATAATATTCTAGGCTTATAGTTTAAACAGTTAAAAGTGCACCCTCTTTAAGTTTTTCTAATTGACAAAATTTTCCAGTAATACATTTCAACAACTATTCCCATGAATTAAAATTCATAAATTATTTGAATTTTTAAGAAATTTTATTGTGAAAATTGTTCATTAACAATTTCAATTAATCGGTAAAATAATTAATTTACAAATCAGAATTAAAAATAGAAAAAAAAAAAAAAAGATCATTTTAAAATTCTTTTTACCCCTATTTCTGAACTTAAAATAGACAAAATTCAACCTTAGATGGGCACTATTTTCATAGGAAATCTCTACATGCATTATGGGAGACAGATGTAAGTCTCATTTCTTTAAGAAGAACGCAAAGAATATTCTGTGATATAAACTAGAAGTGCATCATTTAATAAAAGAAAAGAAAATTTTGAAAAAAGGACAGCTGTATTACTGTTTACTGGGCAAAACAGAAATCAAAGTAATACACAGTTAGTTATATGATGATAATGTTTTTTAAGGTTAAAATACTTTTCAAAACACTGAAAAAAAATTTAAACTAAAATCATCATAAATATATGGCATTTTGTTAGATTTTATATATATATATATAAATCTAAGAAAATGGCATAATGAAAGCAATAGGTAAATTTCTTTTCTATATGTTTGACATCAACTGGATGTATTTTAATTAAAATTTTGATTACGAATATTACCAATTCTAAAACTATTTTTTAATTTTATTAGTTCAATTTACTTGTATTACCATTTTTTCAATGCAATTGAGCATGTGGGTTTAATTTTTTGCTTTTAATTTGAATTCCTATTTTGTAGACACTCAAAGGCATAGTGAATGAATTTGTGAGTGTTTTAAAAAAAAGACTTAATTATAAAATTCAATAAAAAAATTTTGAAACCACTCAATTAGCAAAATACATTTGGATTACGAATTTCAATAAAAATTAACTGAACTGAGATTAGCCATTTCCCTGATGAACTTTGAATGTCGAGCAATTAATTATTGTTTTACCATTTTTATAATTTAAAAACCCAACCTAAAAAATTTTTACTCACTTTTTTGCAAAACATAGATTTTATGTCTTACATTTTGAAATTAAATTTTATGGTCCTAGGATGTGGATTTTCAATTTAGTTCTAATTTAAATACAAACTGTTAAAGCTGTTTTGCACTTAATATCTTGTTTTCACTAAATTATATTCAAATTTTTTCTAAATCACAATTTTTTTAAAATTTATTAATTTGTTTTAACTTACAATTTTCAGAGTTTAGAAAATTTAAGATTGCATCTAAATTATTAAAAAAAATTTTTTTTTTAAATCTTTTGTGTCTGGATGAGTAGTGGTTTATTTTCTTATTTTATATGCATACATACCACAAGCTGAAGAAGTCTTTTAGTTAATTTTACAGAAACTAAAGTTAAAAAGAGTGTTCAAAGGGCCAGTAATTATTAACTCCAGATTTCTCTATTTCTTCTTTCCTTTATATATTTTAAAGTGCCTCTTCTTCCAAAAAAACTTAATAAACAGTCAAAACTAATTAAACTTGATTTCATCTAACAAACAGCAAAATAAAATCAAGCGAAATAACGAAAAACTAAAAGATTATAATTTAAAAGCTTTAAAATAAAAAATAAAAAAATTAGAAACTGGATTGAAATTTAAACATAACTTCAGGTTTTTAATGATATGGAAGGTTTTATGGTAATCTAATTCAGCAAATGAAGAACAGCACTAAATAATTATAAATAAACTAAAAATATAACTCAAAACCAACAAAAATTAATTATGGAAGATGTGATTGTATTCATGTTCTTTTGTTTCAGTTTGAATGATCTACATCAGTGATCTCAATGTGTATTTGTTGCAAATATGGTACTGCAAAGGTTTCTAGATTTTAATTATTTGAAGTCTGAATTTACATGATTTTTATTTACACAAAAAAAGAATATAAATAATGCATGAAAAAACTGATAAATTAGCTAATTCACAACGTGATATAAATCTTACTTAAGGATATGATGATACAGATCTTATTAACTTTTATTCGTATTCATCAAAAAATAAACTCATTTTTGAATTTCTGCACTCTGAAAATAATTACTTTGGTTGGGAACGCATTTACTATGTATTCCCAAATAAAGGTCATCAGAGTTTTTTCATAGTTGAAAATTAATAAGAAAGTAACCCAATTGATCAATGTTCATCTACAGCGCATACTGAAGATAATTTCTGGTAATTTCTCTTGTAGAGACATTAAGTATTTTTGGAAGTAAGCAAGATGAAAAATTAGTAAACTCCTTCGCCGGGAACTGAATCACGAACCTCTGGAATACCGGCAAGGCGTGCAGAACCACTACATCACGAAGGTAAGTTAGAAAGGTAGGAGAAATACCTTATATACTCCCCCTTTTAAAGGGTGATTGGGGGTTTTTAGGGGACCCAATCGCCAAATCCTGGGTGAGGAGAATCATCATCCATCACCCTTTTAGTTCGGGCACTACTGTAGAGACATTAGGTATTTTTTGGGAGAGGAGAGATGAAAAATTAACAATGCCGTCTACGGGAATCGAACTACGGACCTATGGAATACCGGCCCAGCGTGCAGAACCACTACACCACGAAGGCACGCTAGGAAGGCGGGAGAAATACCTTATACTCTCTAAGGTTAACTTTATCTGAATGGAAATGTGATCGAATATTATGAAATAAAGAAGACTACAATTTTTTTTTGCATACAAACATATGCATTTTTACATATGTGTCAAAGAAAAATTCAATAAATAACAGAAAGAGACTAAGTTCTTGTTATTTCAAGTTTTGTCTACTTGGTAACTTTTTTCTGAAAACTCATTTGTTTAGTTAGTAAATTATTTAATGATTAACTAAATATGTTAGAGCTATATGAAAGAAATATCGGTCTAAGAAATTAATATTCAGCTATCAATATATTTCAATTACAAAATGTGACCAATAAAGATGTTTTACATATACCAAACTTTAGATTTTAGAAAGAAAATAAATTTAAATTTGAATTTTTTCCTCTGCAGTATTATCATTATTGTTTATGTATGTTTTGATAAACATTAAGTTAGTAAAATTTTTAATTCATTTAAAATATCTTTTACTTTCTTAAAAAAAATTATAACTATTTGTAGATTATGCCTTTGGCCTGCATGCAGTTCGAGTTTGAGGCCACTGATGTTTATTACACTACAATTACAAGGATTATTAAAAACAATGCAAGATTTTAAATCTGAAATAAGATGTTTAAGGACTGATAAAATTTAATTAATAGGAGAGAAAATTACTAAAGTTAATTTTGTTAGAATATGAATAATTTTATAACTTATAATAGTGACAAATTAAAAAATAACAAAATTATAACAAATGCTTTTAATAAGAAAATGTTCTTGATAATAGTAAAAAGAAAATTCTATTAATCTATTAGAATCTATCTGTTAGCTTTCTCAGGAACAGATGAATAAAAAATGGCAATAGCTTTTGTTTTAACTTTCTAACTAAAACTTGACTTTCTAACTAAGAAAGGCAATAAAGAACATTTCTTTAGGCAGAAAATCATAAAAGTGATCTATTTTCTGTTCAGCTAAATGACCTGTACCAGGAAAAAAAGCTAACAAAGAAATATTTTATTGTTCTGAAGTGCTACTTATTGCATGTTATTAGAACATAAAGGTGAGAAAAGAAGTTGTGATTAGTTTAGATCAGCAGGCTTTTTATAACTCTAAATGTACTAAAGTTTCTCCTCACTCATTATTGATGCTGCATTCCTAATTTTCTTAACTTAATATTGTATAGTTCAATACGCTAACTGCCTGAAGTTCTTTCCAAAGCTTGAGAGAGAGGAGCTACTAAAGAATTTGGTGAAGTTTCAGAAGTAAAAATTCAGTAACACTATATGAAGTTTAAAATGTGTAATATTTTAATAGTTAACCTTTTTAAAATTGGATGGGAATTTTTTTAAATTGATAATTATCATATTATAAAAAGAAGGATAAATAGAAATAACAAAATTTAACAAATTCTAATCTGAAAGAAATAAGAGAGTAAAAATAATTAAAAGTAACACAGAGGTGTCACGAAGATGGCTACAACTTAAATGAAACCAAGAAGAAGAATGATAAATTCTCTCTTCCCCCAAGCCAACAGTTGTCAGAAACAAAATAACAATAAAACATTCACTCAGCTTATTCCTACTTAAAATATACTAACCCTATTGCTATAATGAATACCATCATCTAGACATACTGGGGAGAATTACCAATCATGCAGTAGACAGATTAAAGACACTACAGCAACTGTGGTAGTAACCCAAGTTACTTTGAATGCTGTAGCGGTAAATGCAACTGCAGTCTGGTTGTTTCTTTCTTTCTTTTTAAATTTCTCTTTCCATGGCTAATTTTCTTTATTTGGGGGGGGGTATCTTTTATTATTATTATTATTATATATATCTGGTGGTGGATATTTTCTAACTAAGAGGATCAGTTCCTTGGAAAATGTAACTGATATTAGCTCTTTTCCACAGCTCTAACTGAGTCATTTTCTTACTCAGTTACTTACATTCCTGACTACAGTCTTTTCAATACTACACTTTCAGAACACTTTAATAAAATATGATTTCTAGAGCACATTAACATAATAATTATACATTACATTTTTTACTTTTCAGCAATATTACATAATTCTGAAGGTGAATGATAGATTATATTTCTGAGATTTACCAGTATCT